GTTGCAATGATTGGCCTGCGAAAAACTCTAAAACGAGTTGTTGCAATACCGAATGCATTTTCAATTACTCTCCGTGCTCTTGACAGTCGATAATTAAAAATTCTCTCATCTAGAGGTAAATACTGGTTGGGGTAAGGTTTCATGAGGTTTGGTTTAAGACCAAAAGCATCATCTGCTAAGAAAGCATATGGGAATGGTTTGCTTGGGCAACTTTCCAAGGCCTCTGGTTGAGGGAAATTAAGCAAATCATTCTGAATTGCTCGGCCAAGGTAACTGTTTGTGTATACGCTGCCGTCAGCTTGCCTACCAGTGTCTCCTATGTCTACCAATGTAAATTCATACCGAGCATTACAAACAGCAAGCAACACAATACTGTGAGTTTTTTTATAATTAAAAAAAATTGAACCTGAACGTGCTGGTGCTTGCATCACAACATGCTTTCCATCCAAAGTCCCGAGTGCATGAGGGAAATTCCACATCTGTCCAAAATCGTTTGCAATTCTTTTCCAGTCATTGGTATTGCCAGGGACAATAATAACATCCATCCAAAATCCTTGCTCGGAAAGAGCGTTCCACAATGCATCACAAGTTTTCTGCACAATTCGCCTCACCGTCGTAGGACTTATACGATAGCTCGCCGCAATTGTAGTGTGAGCATCACCCGTGACTAGATATCTCAAAGTAACTGAGAGGCTTTCGTCTGGAGGAATTGGTTCTCGCATTCTGGTGGACTTTTTTGTTATTAAAGGAGCGACTAAGGTCAATAGCAGCTCAAAAGTACCGGGCGACATCCTAAAGAGCCGAAAGAAATATTCTGGGTCGCCAAGCATCAATTCCTTCACAAGAATGTGATATTCGCCCTTCGCCTGTCGTTCTTCGTATATTTTCCTCACCCAGAATCTCTTCCTATATTTTAAGCGCTGCCTTCTCTTTCTTAAAAGCAACAAAGTAAGTATTTTGCGCCTTAAAAACCATCGTATATTGAAGGCAGCCATTTCCTGTTTACTTGTTTTGTTACTTTGTCGCTTGTTCGCGCTCGCTTATTGGCCGCTCGCTGTGGAGATTGCAAACATTCATCGCGTGAACTGTTCGCGCGAAAAAAATCGCGTCGCGCGAAAAAATTCGCCTAGTGGAAACCGGGCTTTACATAATTATAAGGCTCGTGCGGGACAGTTCATTTTAGAGAATTAGAGAAAATACAAGTACGAGCCGCCAAACATATGAATTGGATTGCCAACGCCAACAGTAGACGTTTTTGCATAAATTGGGAATCACTTAATGATATTTTCTCTTATAGGTTGTTATACCCTGTTGCTTATAAATGTTATTACGATCACTTGACTATCCCTCTTTATTCTTATTTAGAAAAATACCGTTGTAATTATGATTTGAGAAGAAAAGTCAATTTCTTACTACCTGGGCCAAAAACTGATTTCTTAAAAAAACTCAATCTTCTGTCAAGCTGGTGTATCTATTATGGAACTTATTATAGACAACAACTTGACAACAACACAAGAGGCATAAACGCTATAGAAACATGTTAAAACGTGAAACAAAGAAACTATCTTAGTATACTATAGCTAGCTATAGCTTATATACAGTAGAGTTAACAGACTTACAATAGATAAGGAAAAATTTAATATTATAATTTATCTAGATATATTTAATGCTTTTATCAGTTATATAGGTATAAATGCACGTTGTGAAATTTCTGCAGCCAGGTTTGCAATCGACATTGTACTGCAGACCGAATTTAGAGTATATAGGTTTTATCGTTACCTGCATTGATTATTTTTCATCTCATCCAGAAGTAGTGATTGTTTCAGATATTTCAAAGCAAAATGTTATTTATAGTGTTTAGTTTGCATGCAATTTTTATCGTTATGGATGCAGAGAGAAAATATATTCTGATAGTGGGAAGCAGTTGAAAGTAGTGAACTTCAGGTTTGCGGAATTACACGCACAAAGTGTAGTCCATAATTATTACCTTCAAATTGCGCAATTATATACTGTAAGTATATTTAAAAAATGAAAATCAACAATTGCGAAAGTTAATAATGAAAGTTTCATTATAGGTGCAATACATATGATTTATCGTGCAAGTCCACACATAGTTATATAGGGAACATTCATGCATTATTTATGACCGGCGGTGGGCTGGAAATTTCAATTAATAACAAAAAAATGTCTTCCCCCCCCCCACATCACAAAAAAATTTAATGACCCCTTCACATGAATTCTAAAAAATAGTACCCCCTCCCCCCCCGCCCACCAATGTATACGTAGACACATGACCAGGCATCAGATCTACATTTTCTTGTGCTTTCAATAATATGCCTATTTAATCAGAACAAACTCTGCTAAGCCAAACTTTAGACTGGCCAGAAGAATTTTGATAAAAAATTCTGACCTAAAAATTAGAATCCAGTTTCAGTGTATTTTCTACACTGCAAAGTATATTTTCTACTATAGTACACATTATGTACTTAATACTAAATTAAACCATGTATAAAATACCTAGTGTATACTAGTCTATATAGTGTACGCCAAACTCGCTGTGGACGTAATGTTGCTACAGTGCCATAGGAAGCTCTTCTTATTGGGGAGAGGGAGGGAAAGGACTGAAAACGGGGGCAAAGGCCCGAGGACATTTTTATATTTAGAGTCTCTGAAATGCCATTTCCTGGACTTTGGGGAAGATTTGACAGAATTTTGATGAACAGAAAACAGCGTTTCAGCGTGTCGAAATTTGCAATTTGTTTACAATTGAGTAGTTATTTATTTATTTATTTATTGAATTTGTCACCATACAAAAAAAAAAGAATTACATTGACGAAGATAACTATGTGACAGGAGAACGGAACAGGACTTTCGTCCCACTTGAAACCTAACCCCTTACAATATACGCAATATACTATTTGTCTTTACTCAACAATATACATTGTACTTTTGTATATATTTATATACACATATTTGGAAACGACTATAATGACAAAAAGAAGTTCAGGAATGACTATAATTAGCCGGAACAACCAGGAGGACTGTATGTTGATAACTTTGTAATGTACAAGTTAATTAGGGTAGACTTGAATGCAGGTAGCGAGTGGTAGACTTTAAGGTATGAGGGCAGACAGTTCCATAGTTCGGCTGATCTAATAAAAAACGATTTTCTGTAATAATCTTGTTTATGTTTAATGATTAGATTGTAATTGTTAATATCATAATTCCGAGATCTATATTTTGGCTCGAAAGTACAAAGGAAATCATTGACATCAGTAGAAATCAGTCCTGCTCTGGATTTAAAAAGAAGCATCAAATCGGAAATTTCTCTGCGAAATTCAAGGGGAAGAAGATTGGTTCTGGCAAGTTTCTGTGTATATGACATGTCCGGAGGATAGTTCAGTATAAATTTAGTTGCCAGCCGCTGGACGTTTTCAATTAGGGAACGATACTTAACTGTATACGGTGACCACAAACTACTGGCATACTCAAGTTTTGGCCGCACAAGAGCACAGTACAACAATTTTCTGACTTTCAGATCAGGGAGTTCTTTACATACCCTTTTAACCAGACCGAGCGTTTTATTAGCCTTGGCCACAATACTTTCAATATGCATTGACCACGACAAATCATTTGGCACAGTGACACCAAGATCCATAATGAAAGGAACACAATCCAGTGACTGATTATCAATGGTGTATACTGCTTCTCTTATCAATGACTTCTTCCTGGAGATACTCATTACCTTGCATTTAGACTTATTAAATGCCATTCCCCAGTCCAAACTCCACCTATGCAAGCGGTCGAGGTCACTCTGAAGATTGTAACTGGAGATTGAATCGAGAATGGGTTTGAACAGCTTGGAATCGTCAGCAAACAAAGCAATTGTTGAGTTATACTGAATGTAGTTAGGCACATCATTGACGTATAAAACAAACAACAATGGACCGAGTATAGAACCTTGTGGTTCACCAGACGTGACAGGAAGCCAACTAGAATGATCCGTTTAGAGCAACTCTTTGGTACCTATCTGTGAGGTAACTACCAAACCAAGAAAGCAGAGATCCGTTGATACCATGATGCTTTAGTTTGAGTAATAACTAGTACTGAGGGACTTTATCAAAGGCTTTTGATAAGTCAAGATAGATTACATCAACTTTGTTACCGGATGCTACGGTGTCCAGGATGTCATGGTATGCTTCTAATAGTTGTGTTGTCGTTGATTTACCCTTGAGAAATCCATGTTGAAATTGATAGAAAGAAGGGGAGAGGTGATGATAACAGTGATTAAAAACGCAACGTTCCAATACTTTGGAGATAACACAAAGCAAAGAGATTGGTCTGTAGTTCAATGTTATGGTGGGATCATCTTTTTTAAAAACAGGGGTAATATTGGCAAACTTCCACTTAGCAGGTACCACTCCAATAGAGAGAGACATATTGAAAAGAATACAAAGTGAAGGAGCAATCTCATCGGCGACCTTGGATAGAATTCTGCTCGGAATACCATCTGGTCCACACGCTTTATTGGGGTCTAAATTACGAAGCACCGCAGCAACTTCGGAGATTGTAAAATTGATATCAGAGAGTTTGATACAAGAAGATTCCATTGAAGTAGAGAGCGTTGAAGGTGGATCTACGTTGCCAGGGCTAAAAACGGAGTGGAAAAATTTGTTGAATAAGTTTGCTTTGATGCGGCTGTCGGTCGTAAAGGATTGTCCATTTCGAATAAAATTTGGGCTCTGTTTTGTTTTGGTCGAAGATTTCAGAAGTGACCAGAAACGTTTGGGATTTTCAAACATTGAATCTTTTAGTTTATTGGCGTGATCACATTTTTTCTTGGAGATAAGCTTTTTTGTTTCGCGTCGGATTAACCTAAATTTCTCTAAGTCATCAGGGTGATTTGTCCTTAGCAGCTTTTTTCTTTGCTTGTTTTTCTTTTTAATGAGCTCCAGCAACTCTTTATCAAGGGTGATCGTTTATGTTTCTTGAGGAACATTTAGGGATGTGATCATGAACGATTGAGAGAAACAGGTCACACGATTTTGAAAGGGAAGCATCAATGTCCTCTGGAACAAAGCATGCATCAAAAGGGGTATTTAATAGCACGTCCTTGAGACCAGTCCAACTAGCTTTTTTGAAGTTGAAAACCTCACGCTTGACTTTATGGCTTTTTGTTGATTTTAAGGTCGAGTTCGAAACTAATAAGTTTATGATCAGTATTCAGGATGTCCTCAAAACCTTGAACATTTATGACTTTATCGGGTAAATTGGTAAAAACTAAATCCAGGATGTTATCGGATCTAGTTGGAAAGTCAATGAGCTGATATAAGTAGTTGTCTTTAATAGTTTTAGTGAAATAGTTGTGAATACAGTCGTTGTTGGTAGCTGAACCGGTAGACCAATCAATATGTGGAAGGCTGAAGTCTCCGCAAACGACTAAGTGGTCAAACTTTGCTTTGATGGCAAGGTGAAGTGATTTCTTAAGTTCTTTTATGTGGTTTATGTCAGTGTTAGGCGGCCGGTAGAATGAAAGAAGCAAAAACTTTTTCTTAGATTCAAGACGGATTTCGCAAGCCACAATTTCCGCATTTTCGCTCTCAAGATCTTTCCTTCGGATGCTAAGCATGGTGTTTCTGACAGCTAACATTACTCCATCCCCGCTCCTGCCAACTCTGTCTTGACGGTGAATAGCAAAGTCGTTTCCGGGTAAAAGTTCACAGTTTAAAATGTCGCCAGATGTCGTTTAAGCCAGGTCTCCGTTACAGCGATTATGTCAATGTTAGATGCT